GGACGGGTCAATACGGATCACCGCATCAAAACCAGGTCGGCTCACGGGCAGCTTCTTGGGTCCGCTCGGTTCAAAACGATCCGCGAACTCTGCGTACGCCTCGGGCAGAACCACCTCCAGCGCATCGGCCGCCGCGACCAAGCGCACAAACATACGCCGCTTCTGTCGCTTCCGACGTCGCCGGAACGCCACCACTGACGACGGCAACCTCGCCTCCGACGCTTCCCGCTGGATCGCCACCGGCGCTGGCTTGGTCCCTGTCACCACCGGCTTCGCCTCCACCGCTGCTGCCGCCGGCTTGGCCTCTGTCGCCGTCGCCGGCTCGGCCTCTGTCGCCACCGCTGGCTGAGCCTCGCCCTGCGCCGGCTTGGCCTGTGTCGCCGGCTTAGTCTCGTCCTGAGCCTCCGTCTCTTGCGCCACCGCCGGCTTAGCCTCGTCCCGCGCCACTTGCGCCACCGCCGGCTTAGCCTCGTTCTGCACGTCCGCCGCTTTCGCCACCACCGCGGGCGCAGCCTCGTCCTGCTGCACCACGCCAATGACGCCCGAGCCCAGACTGCCCTTGCCTCTGACACGAACCGGCTTCATGCTCTCGAACCGCACCGTCCGAGTCGCCAGATCGATGACAGGATTTGCCGCCGCCAGCACATCCATGCCCAACAGGAGCGGCACCACCGGCCCATCCAGGATCATCGCTTGGACCCACAACTGCCGGCCCGCCAAAGTAACTCGCAGCGCCACGCCCTCGCGCACCTTCATCTCCTCTTTCGTCACTGTCCTCAACTTGATCATTGGAACTGGAAATGAGGGGGCACGAAGTGTATTTGCTACAGCACGGCTCACAAATGTGGCGACCGATCCAGTGTCAATAAGAGCTTGCACCTGCATCGCGGTATCAGAAGAACCCGCGCACGCGACTTGCACCTGCTGTGTCAACGCTTCGTATCGCCCGACTCCTACCGCGTTCAGGGGGAGTCGGGCTGGGCTTTTCCCTGCGCGGCTTCACCTTGAACTGCCGCCACCGCCGGGGCCTGACCGCATGTCTTCCTGAGATGGGTTCCGGAGCCACAGCGGAAACAAAGGTGCTCACGGCGACGTCTCTCGAGCTCCTCCGCCGACAAGTTGTACTTGGCCGCCATAGCCTCCGCGAACGCCACCGCCGCCACCACGCTGGTCTGCTGCTTCTGCGGCTGGGAAGGCTGCTGCTTCGGTTGAGCCGCACGCTGACCATAGAACGACGCCTTGTAGCTCGGCTGCGGCTGCGGTTGAGGCGGCGCCGCTGTGACCTTTCGGCTCTCCCACTCCTGCATCGCCCACAGGCTCGCCATGAGCTCAGACGGCGGGAGATTCTCGGATATATTTTCCATCCGCGCGAACTGGTAGACTTCGAGAGACATGGCGGCCCAGATAGCCTTCGCGATCTCGCTCTCTGACAGACCCGACACCTCCGCATACTTGTCGAGGACCGTCTGGATCTCCAACACCGACAGCTTGCTCATGTTGATAATCGCCTTCATCGCAGTGGGGACGCTCGTTGGGGTCGCCGAAACGGAGCCGGAGCCGATCGCAGAGCTCCTGGTGCGAGAGCTCCACCACTTGTCGCTACCAGAGCGAACCAATCGGCGG